CCAGCACTCATTTTCTTTTCCAGAGATTCTCAGTCAGGTTTAGGTCAGGACTCTGGGCTGCCGTTTCATTATTTCGGTGTTTTCAGCTTTGGGATTTGCTTTAGCTGTTGTCCTGTGCTCAGAGTTGATCACTGTGTGATTGTGTGATGAACAGAAGATGAGGGCTGCACAATACTGGCCAAATATGCTCACTGTGGCCTCACAGCAAGAAGGTCGCTGGTTCGAGTCTCAGCAGGCTCAGTGTGTGTTTCTGTGTGGAGTTTGCATGTTCTCCCTGTGTTGGTGTGGGTTTCCTCCGGGTGCTCCGGTTTCCCCCACAGTCCAAACACATGCGCTATAGGGGAACTGATCAACTACACTGGCCGTAGTGTATGAATGCGAATGAGTGTATGGGTGTTTCCCAGTACTGGGTTGCAGCTGGAAGGACATCTGCTGTGTAAAACATATGCTGTATTAGTTGGCGGTTCATTCCGCTGTGGTGACCCCTGATGAATAGGGACTAAGCTGAAGGAAAATGAATGATAACAATGTTTTTTATGATATGACTAACTTGCAAAGTGCTGTATTATTTGGAATTTTAAAACATAATTCACTGATGTAATGATCATACTGAAATAAGCGGGTCATAGATCTTTTTTCTAGCTAATTAAATAGAAAACTATATTAAGGTGCAAACATTTAGACTATAAAACACCACACATGATTAAAAACTCAGACTCAGACTTCTGATGGACATCTGCATTCACACTGTCCTGTTTCTGTACAGCTTGTTGGCACTGTAAAACATTTATTGTCAAGGCAAGACAACTAATATTTTTGTTTCTTTCACTTATTTTACTAAGTTAATCAGCTAAACTAATTTTAAAAGTTATACAAAGTTCATTCATTCATTTTCCTTCAGCTTAGTGCCTATCAGGGGTCGCCACAGTGGAATGAACCGCCAACTATTCCAGCATATGGTTCACACCCTGGATGCCCTTCCAGCTGCAACCCAGTACTGGGAAATTAAAAGTTCATTTGATTCAACTCAAAAATGAAAGGCAGCAGTGATATTGGTACAGTGTGAGCTGCTCACGGAGACCTGAGTTAGACCCAACCCCAGCCCAGATCAGTGGATGGGGATGATTGAGAGGCTGATGGAGGAGTTTGGCCAGGACACCGGGGTTACCCCCCTACTCTTTACCAGAAGTGCCCTGGGGTTATTAATGAGCACAGAGAGTCAGGAGCTCACCTGCCCAGCCCTAACATCACCATCAATCTGAAGTTGATTGTAGTCTATAATTAATGATGTATGAGTGATGCTGTCACTGAGAGCGCTTCAGATGAGCCTTTACACCCAAACACACTGAGACGGACTGTCAGGAAGATTTAAGGAGGAAACGGACTGATCTGACAGAGTAACGCTCCGCTTTAATATCTGGATTGCATGCTGATAGTGTTTAACAGGTAGAACAGCTGTTATATTCAGTGTACAGCACACGTACACACACACACACACACACACACACACACACACACACACACACACACACACACACACACTTGTGTCTCTTTCTGACCTGAAGATCCTCCAGATGCTCTGAGTGTGTGTCCTGCGTGTCACAGTTGATGTGTGTGTGTGTGTGTGTGTGTGTGGTCGTGTGTTAATCTTTGACAGAGGGAGTGTACAATACAGTGGGTGATTTTCTCTGAAGCTACTTTTGGACTCAATCAATATGTGCAAACGCATGTTGATCCTTTCCAGCTCTCATGAGGAACGCCGCTCACACTTCAGTGCGTCTCCAGGGCCCACACTGCTGTCAGAACCACAGCTGCTCCACGCCTGTCTGTCTGTCTGTACGTCTGTCTGTCAGTCGATGGTAATGTGTGTGTGTGTGTGTGTGTGTGTGTGTTGTCTCTCTGCGTCAGTCTTTGTCTGCTGAGTGGCCTGATGAATGCGAGTCTCGGGTTTTGTTCAGTGTTGTTTGTGTGTTGTGTGTTTGTCCGTTCACTGACACAAAGCCTGTGCTTTACTCTCTGAATAAATATGAGCAGATCTGAATGAGCCTTAAACGAGTGCGATTGTGTGTGTGTGTGTGTGTGTGTGTGTGTGTGTGTGTGTGTGTGTGTGTGTTTTCTCTGGCTGTGGGTGAAGGATGGCTGACTGTGATGAGAGACAGACAGACGCACAGACGGGCTGGTTTTATCAGGTGCTGTACTCTTGTGATGGCTGTGTTCTGACACACCTGTACGTCTGACACTCTTTCATCCTGAACAGCTGCAGGTGCGTTCAGAGCCGTCGCACGTCTGCTTCTGACAGACAGAGAGACAGGAGATGAACATGACACACACACACACACACACACACACTGGGAGTCTCACCGGCTTATACTCCTCAAGTGATCTGGATCTTCCTCTGATGATAACTGTGTGATGTAGTCACTGTAGTCATCAGATCTGAAACGTCTTTATTAAAGAAGCAGTTTTATAAATCTACAGGTTTACACTGGTGTCGTGTTCAGCATCATCTGTATATTTCAGTCTATATTTTATGATCCATTTAAAAAGTTTTATTGATGAACTCAAGCTGAGCAGAGAGATATGCGTCTCATTGCAGATATTAAAGGGTCAGTTCACTCAAACATTTCATTCTGCCGTCATTCACTCAGCCCTGCATGAGCTCTATAACTTATTAACCCACTGCAGCTCCTTTAACAATCAGCCCTGATGTGTCTTGTCAATATGTTTGTAAGTGTGTGTGTGTGTCTGTCAGTGATGAGGTGTGTGTGTGAGAGCTGCAGGCGTGTCCTGTGATTGACAGTGTGTGTGTTCCTCCTAATGGTGCTGTCAGTGGAGATCAGAGTCTGCTGTGGATCTTCAGGCTGAGCTGCTCTTCTGTTCTGCTCATCAGCGCTGGCGTCTGGCAAACATGACTCTCACTCCAACACAGAGACTTTACTGAAGTGTATTTACACACACACACACACACACACACACACACACACACACACACACACACACACACCTGGCTGTACCTGCCTGTCTCCTCTGTTGTTTTCTGTTATTTGATTTTCTCTTCTCTTCATTTGTGTTGGGTTTAATGTGGAACAGATGGAAATCAGCAGCATGATGAGTTGCCGGAGCTGACAGATGATCACAGCCCACCTGCTCTATTCTCTCCTGTTATTCACTTCAGTTATATTCTATAGAGTTCAGTTCAGTTCTGGACTCTTCTGTTCTGTTTATTCAGTCCAGTATTCTACTCATTTGTAGGTGTGTGTCATCATCTCTGTTGTGTGTAATGGTGTCTTAAAGGAACAGAAGCAAGGATCTGTGTTTTACTAAAAGCATCAGAGTTTCTCCTTCCCATGATCAGGCAGTCTTGTGTGTGTTTATAGTGTGTATCTCGCATGTTGTGGTGCCTAAATGAAGTATAGTAATACCAGTAAACTAATAAACTGCAGAGTGTGTACAGTGAGAGATGAGTTTAGGGGAGAATATACAGGCTGTAAGGTACAGACAGCATACAGCCCATAAAGATAGCTGTGTGTGTGTTTGTGTGTGTGTGTGTGTGTGTGCGTGCGTGTGTGTTACCTGTCTCTCTGTGTCTGCTGCTGCCGGTGATGGAGTCTGCAGTCTGTCCCTCAGTCTCTGACACTATGTGCTGCTGGGTCCAGTACACCACAGACATGTGCTGCGGCAGATATTCATCACTCTGTATATTTCGAGCACGCGTGTTGAGCTGGATGAGGTCAGAGTTGAGCGCTGTTCACTGAAGATGACGGAGCGGTTGACGGTTAGCGATAGAATCAAGTCAGTGAACACACAAACACTGCACAGGCGTCATACACAGCTTCCCATCTCCGCTGCTGCTCTTCTCCTGACCTCTCAGGAAGCCCCATGAGCTCTGCACTGCAGTATAGACCAGCGCCTCAGAGAGGGCCTGTGGAGGAGGCCGAGGGCCTGCAGGTGATCAGGTGTGAGTCCAGGCTTTTATTAATAGGGGCACAGGAGGGACCAAGAAGCTGTCAGGAGGGAAAAGTGCACTTTTATATTTAATAACCATGTTCTCATCAACATATTCATTTGAAATGGGAGTTCAGATTGTCCCTTTTTTCCACTATCATGACGTGCATGCACTTGAAACAGTCCTGACATTAGAAAACAATGTAGAGTGCATGCTTTTGTTCTTTGGAAACTGATTGGATTCTTGAAAGTTGGGTGTTGCTAACAACATCAAGGAAGATTGATGAATGAATCAATTCAGAGCTGATGAGCATCACTGTGAGTTCACTCTGTTACGCAGGTTTGCTTATATTCTAGTTTGTTGTATAGTGACAGTGAAAAGCTTCAAATATTCTGGTATTTTGGTCATAAAGACTTCTGACTCCTCCACCACACATTTCCACACACATAAGCATGAAGCACAAAATTAAACGTGATTGGTTGATTAAGCTGTCAGTCAAATAATATAGTGGGCGGAGCTTTCCCATTCAAAACTCCCAAAGTACCCAGACCTTCATCATCAGTCTGAGCTCTGGCTACACGAGACTACTTTATCCCAGGCTTACCATACATTAATGTTTATAAATGCTTTGTTTACATACGTTACATATATGAACATATATTTGCTCACACTTCTTATGTCATTGTGCTGTGAAACAGACAGTGCTCTAATCCAATGGCTTTTCCATGAATATATGAGGAGTAATAAGCAGTGAACCGACAGTGAGTAGGTCAGCTCCTCCAGGTTATCTGTGGCCAAACATTTTGTGACAGCTTCTTACAAAACTAATGTCATTATTTGCTTCAGTTGTTGTGTTGAGCTGTGGAAATGCACTGGTAGATGTGTTCTACTTTAAGCAGCACTACATCTGAGGTTTCCACACAAACCCCTCAATCATCACCGCTGATATACCCCGATCAGTCTGTGCTGTTGGGGGGCAGAGCATGTTTTGGGGATTTTAATTCACCCCTTTAGATCCACATGTGTCAATAACCAAGTATTTGTCTCCCTGCAGGCTCAGAATCTTCCAGAAGTCCAGATGGAGCAGGATGTCGAGAGCACCGTCACGGTTCGACAACCCAAGCTGCCCAAGCAGGCGCGGGACGACATCCCCAAACCGCTGCAGGAGCGGGAGCGCGCCAAGCAGAAGACCCAGCGCTACGTCCGCAAAGACGGCAAGTGCAACGTGCACCACGGAAACGTGCGGGAGACCTACCGCTACCTGACGGACATCTTCACCACGCTGGTGGACCTCAAGTGGAGGTTCAACCTGTTCATCTTCGTGCTGGTCTACACCGTCACCTGGCTGTTCTTCGGCTTCATGTGGTGGCTGATCGCCTACATTCGAGGAGATCTGGAGCACATCGGAGACAACCAGTGGACTCCCTGCGTCAACAACCTGAACGGCTTCGTGTCCGCATTCCTGTTCTCGATAGAGACTGAGACCACCATCGGCTACGGCCACCGCGTCATCACCGACAAGTGTCCGGAGGGCATCGTGCTGCTGCTGGTGCAGTCGGTGCTGGGCTCCATCGTCAACGCCTTCATGGTGGGCTGCATGTTCGTCAAGATCTCGCAGCCCAAGAAGCGCGCCGAGACGCTGGTCTTCTCCACCAACGCCGTCATCTCCATGCGGGACGGCCGGCTCTGCCTGATGTTCCGCGTGGGAGACCTCAGAAACTCGCACATCGTGGAGGCGTCCATTAGAGCCAAGCTGATCAAGTCCAAACAGACCAAGGAGGGCGAGTTCATCCCGCTCAATCAGACGGACATAAACGTGGGCTACGACACCGGAGACGACCGGCTCTTCCTGGTGTCTCCGCTCATCATCTGCCACGAGATCAACCAGCACAGCCCCTTCTGGGAGATCTCCAGAGAGCACATGGCCAAGGAGGAGCTGGAGATCGTGGTGATCCTGGAGGGCATGGTGGAGGCCACAGGTACCACACGCACAGATATCACTCAGCCTACGGCTACACTGATACAGATACATTCAGTGTTCGGCAAGATACTTATGTAGTGAGCTAAGCTATTAGCTAATCTACTTCAAACATAGCTTAACTATGCTATAAGCTAGGTCATTTATCTTTTCCTTTCCCCGATAATTTGATATTATGACATCTTTCAGTTGAACAAGCATGCATTCACTGATCTGGGATGATTTAAAGAGCGGTCACGAGACTCTAGATGCTGCTCGAGCCCAGCGTAACCCAGCAGTCATGCTTTAAAACACACCGAGCAGCACATGCTGGATTTATTCCTCAGGGTTTAATTGGGTTTTGAATTTATGTTTGGACTGGAATGCATTTACAGTAACCTCTGTTAGCCACAGCCTCAAACCTGACAATAAAAGACAAATTACTGTCATAAAGGTGCAGGATCAATCTGAGGGAAGGTGGCAGAAGCGTGCACTCACACACACACACACACACACACACACACACACACACACACACACACACACACACACACTGGAGAGAGCAGATGATCTTAAAGCCACAGTTAGTGTTCATGCATGTGCGTCTGGTCATCATTTACTCAAGCTCATGCCTCTTCAAACCTGCAAAACTTGAATATACTGTTTGCAGCGAGTGGATGATGAGGGTATTTTCACCTCCAGCACAGTCTGAGCTTCACCCAGAGAAACAGGAGCCCGCTCCTATCAGGACCCACAGCTCAAATATAGCTCAGGATCAATACACAGCTGTAAATGCTGGGAAATAAGTCTCCCAGAATCCCTCAGGAGTGCAGTACAGGACACAGAGAGGTCAGCCGCACGTCGCCTGCTGGACCCAGCTCTCAGCTTCAGGCTACAGGAGTATAGAAAAGTAAAGTGGATAAGTGTATAGTATAGTATAGTATAGTGTAGTGTAGTTTAGTGTAGTATAGTATTATACTGTAGAGATTAGTACAGTATAGTATAGTAAAGCATAGTATAGTACTGTATAGATTAGTAATAGTATAGCATAATATAGTAGAGTATTGTATAGTATATTATAGTACTGTATAGTTTGGTACAGTATAGTATAGGAAAGCATAGTATAGTACAGTATAGAAGTGTAGAGATTATTACAGTTAAGTAATACTATAGTTTAATATAGAATAGTATAGTATAGTTTTGTATTGTATTTTATTGTATAGTAGAGTATTGTATGGTTTAGCATAGTACTGTAGAGTTTAGTATATTATAGTATAGTATAGTATAGTATAGCACTGTAGGGATCAGTACAGTAAAGCAATAGTGTAGTATAATATAGTAGAGTAGAGTATTGTATAGTATAGTAAAGTACTGTAGAGTTTAGTATAGTATAGTAAAACATAGTATAGTATGGTATGGTATAGTATAGTATTGTATGGTATAGTATAGTATAATATAGTATTGTATGGTATGGTATAGTATCGTATGGTATGGTATAGTATGGTATAGTATAGTATAGTATGGTATGGTATAGTATAGTATCATATAGTATAGTATGGTATGGTATAGTATATTATAGTATAGTATGGTATGGTATAGTATAGTATAGTATAATATAGTATCGTATGGTATGGCATAGTATGGTATGGTATGGTATGGTATAGTAAAGTATCGTATGGTATAGTATAGTATAGTATAGTATGGTATAGTATAGTATAGTATAGTATAGTATGGTATAGTATAGTATAGTATAGTATGGTTTATATATTCTATAGTTTATCCCCTGGTGGTTGTAAATAGCAGTATATAGGCTGTATGTTAATAACTGATGCTTGTGTTTAGGGATGGGGAAGGTGTAGATGTTAATGGCTGATGTACAGTGGCATTTTGGCGACAACATAGTTTTGACACGTGGGTCTCCATAACTTCAACTTCTGCCTCTAACGTAGTGCAAGTTACGCCTCTTTATGTTACGTTGGTCTTGCCGTCCACTGGCAGACACTACTCCATGTTTCAGTTCAAGCTTTGTCAAACAGACACTGCAGATTTCAGAGCGCTTCACTGGAGTTTCCAGAGTTCACCCTCAGCTGATGAGTGATTATAAAGCGTGTTCGGCATGCTGTCCTGGGAGAGAGCCCTGAGCTCAGAAGATCCTCGAGCCTGGGGCCTCCTCCTGTTGGCAGGGCAAGAGGGGAGTTTGAGCTCAGGTAGATGTGGAAGTAAAGACTTGAACCAGTAAGAATAACTCAGCAGACAGAAGCAGTGCTGTGGACAGGTCTTCATCCTCTTGCTGCTGTTCACATTAGCCTGTTTGGTGATGTCGTTCAGCAGAGCATCGCTTTACAAGCACCTTTCACAACAGTGGAGATCCGTCTGTTCACACTGAGGGAGGATCGAGACGCTCACACACACAGCATCATGTGTGTCAGTGGGAAACATCCGCAGTGTTTGATCTGCGCTGTACGCATCGCGCATCATTTCTCTGATGTTTTCCAACGTTTGTGATCATGGTTAAGCTAACGTGAGCCTGTCCTGCTGTCTGAGTCACGAACACAGAGGCAGGGCCGCTCAAACGGACCATCTTCTACATACAATTAGCCAAAAACAGAGACAGAGCGCAGCGCGTTTGCTTTCGCTGCAACTGTGATGCTATTTTGAGGGTTTGTGAGTGTGGTTGCCATGGCGACGGCGCAGCATTAGGAAAACCCACTGAGATTATATAACAGCGTTATCTAAACCACACGGCCCAGTGCTACTGTTATGATCATCACTGCTGTTATGATGGTGATCGCCTGTGATTGATCTGCCATCGCATGTGTGTGTCCTGCACAACATCACATCACTATACTCAGTAAAGCCGTGTTTATTTGAGGAGTTTAGCATGTGCTCATTACTGCTTTGCATTTGGAGCTATTATGCAGCTTTATATGGGGTTCAGCAGTGTGTCCAGCAGTAATGCTCAACATGAGTGAACTGTGTTTATTATAATCAGACTTGATGCAGAATCACTGTGATCAACATTCCCCCTTTGTACGTGTCATCAGAGAGGGAAAGCCCCGCCCACTAGTGCCCATCTCATTAGCATGTCCAGCAGGCCTGAGTGAAAAGCAGCCGTCTGTCCATTAGCCATTAGAGTGTTTGAGCTGCTGAAGATGATGTCAGCATAGACTCAGAGGATTATAGATGGGATGGACTTCTCCATTTTGGCATCAGCTGTTGTGGTCGTCACCTTGCAGCAGCTGTACACACAACAGCAGCCCGATGATGGAAGTGTTCTGGGGTCATAAGGGAAAACACAGTGTGAACACAAACCAGCCGAGAAGGTGAAAAGTGGGGACAATCCAACTTAGATTCAGACCAGGCAATCGAGCCAAGTGTGAAAGCCCCCTGAGACTCCCTCTGTCAACATTATTCATTTAACCAAAGTAAAGTGCAAACCAGGGTGGCGCAGTGGTTATCAGTGTCACCTCACAGTAAGATGGTTGCTGGTTTGAGTCTCGGCTGGGTCAGTTTGTGTTTCTGTGTGGAGTTTGCATGTTCTCCCCGTGTTGGCGTGGGTCTCCTCCGGGTGCTCCGGTTTCCAAACACATGTGCTGTAGGGGAATTGGGTGTTTTCCATTGCTGGGTTGCAGCTGAAAGGGCATCCACTGCGAAAAACATATGCTGGAATAGTTGGTGGTTCATTCCACTGTGGCAACCCCTGATAAATAAGGGACTAAGCCGATAGGAAAATGAATGAATGACTGAATAAAGTGCCAGCCAATACAGCGAGTGCATGTGGATGCTCCTGTCTTACATTCCTTACTTCACCACTGACCTGACTGAATGATCTGAGTGCCATGATAAAAGCTTCCACAATTAATCACAACAAGAATATCTGATACTGACAGCAGCCTGAACTGGAGCAGAGTGCAGGAAAACTTTCAGAGGCATTCCTGGAGAGAGAGAGAGAGAGAGAGAGAGAGAGTGTTGTTCAGCATTACTGGCTCAGGGCTGCTTGTTATGTGTTGTTTCTAGAGACGCTCCTGCATGTCATTGAGCCTGTGAGGTCGCGGGTGCTCAGGGCATGACTGGAGAACGGGCACAGCTGCTGGCGCATTCACAGCTGACCTGTTGCCATGGTGACAAGACAACATGCACGAGCATGTGTCATCGCAACACACACACACGCACACACGTGGACATGAGCGCATGCATTCACAGCGCTCCGTGTGTCCTGCAGCTCTGCAGTACAGCTCATATACAGCTGCTGCCGGCCGATAACAGCAGCCGCTCACCTGCAAACAGATGAATGAAGGTTCTCAGTGTCAAAGAAACAAGCAGGGCTCTAGCTCACCGACTCACCGACTGGTCTGTGTGTGTGTGTGTGTGTGTGTGTGTGTGTGTGTGTGTGTGTGTGTGTGTGTGTGTGTGTGTGTGTGTGTGTGTGTGTGCTGGTCTTGGTGGTCCCGAAGACAGTTTTTTTGTATAATGACACTGGTATGACCTAGTTTTACTCTACTATGGTGGTTTATGAGGACATGATGTCTTTGCATTCTTCATGAGGTGTGTGTCAGTGTCGGCGTCAGCCACAGCGAGTGCTTTACACATGCGCTTAATGCAGAAGCATAAATCCTTTCCCCTTCCCTTCCCCGTACCCATAGCCCTGGTTTTGCATGTTCAGGTGAAGGGGTCAGGGCGTCCCAGTCTCTTTATTGAGAAGGTATAGGGCTAAAGAAAAGCTTTAGATAGCCCTCGAAGATTTTCCAGGACCACACCAGACACCAAGGGGAATGAAAATCATATAGAGTATTGGGCCTAAATGTGCCTAAATGAGCTCTTAGACCTTTCCAACAACATATAGTTTGTGATGATTAGATTTAATTAGGATTTAATTGTACAAAAGTGATGTGAACTTAAGGGTCCTGCTGGCGGGAGCGTGACAGATATTAGAGTAATGTTATTTATTCTGAACATTTATAAACGATAAAGCAATGCACTTAATCATTTATATATATGTATATTTTATATTTAATACATATATATATTTTGTTTCTTTATGATTCAATAAATTATTTAGTTTAAAAGCAAAACTAAATATATTTAAGCAAAATAAATAAATAAATAAAGGATTACAAGTTAAAAAGTGAAGTTAAAACTAACTAGGGGTGTCCCGACCAGGTTTTTTTGAAGACGAGATTTTGAGTATCTGCCAGAAGCGAAAGCTTATCCAATTCTTCTATAAAGAATAAAGAAGAGTGAATAAACAGATCCGGGATGTTCCTTATTGTTTATTTAATTCACCTTATTTTACCATTCAACAGTTCTGTTAACACACAGAGCACTTCTGTGAGGAAGCTTCAACAATCCAGTCCTAAATAACAGCAGTTCTTCACTTTTGGACTTCAGTGCAGCAGTAAATATAACAGAATCTAATATAAAAACAAACAGCAGCTCAACGTAACATACCCGGCAGGCAATCCCAAGTGGACATCCCTCTCAGTCTGCTCTGGCAGTGTTGTGGTCATCAACATTTATAACACCTCTGGACCGCAGACATACTCGCGCTTTCCGCTTCAAGCTGCTTCAGTGTTGACCAATAGCGTCTCTGCAACACAGTGATGTCATGCTGCACGCGCTGCTGCTGTCTGCTCAAGAAAGAGGTCCAACTCTGCGCCACCGCACAACTATAGATGTGTTCAAAAATAATGAGAATATATATATATATATACAGGTGAAGTCAGATTTAATAAAACCCCTGATTTATTAGAATCCCTGATTATTTTTTTCTCCAATTTCTGTTTAATGGAGAGAAGATTTATACATGTCTATAGTGTTCATAACTCATCTCTAATCACTGATGTGTTTCCTCTTCTCCATGATGACAGCACATAATATTAGACTAGATATTCTTCAAGACACTAGTGTTCAGCTTACAGTGACATGTAAAGGCTTCACTAGGGTAATCAGGGTAAAGTTAGGGTAATTAGGCAAGTCATTGTATAACAGTGGTTTGTTCTGGAGACAGTCCAACACTAATATTGCTGAAGGGGTGAATAATCAGAAGATTTCTGATTGAATCATGAAGAAACTAAACTGACTCCATGAATAATAAGCGTTTCTTACTCTATAAAATGCAGTATACCTATGGAGAGTCCCTGTAAACCACCGATACCAGTGTGTGTGTGTGTGTGTGTGTGTGTCATGAGTACAGATAATGCGCTGATCTGAGTGTAATGCAGCGGAGGCTGATGAAGCGCCGTCTGAAGCATCGTGATGCAGCTCCTGCCATGATTACACACGACAGACCGAGACACGCGTTATATAAACGTGCTGTTTGTGTGTGTGTGTGTGTGTGTGTGTTCCTGAGCTCTGAGAGCACTGAGGGAAACACACACGAGATGTACACAGATGTGACACTGCTGCGGTGTGTTGATGGTGACTGGAGACGGCGACCTTTGACCCCCACAGGCTCTCAGGAGCCCTCGCTCCGCTCTGTGATTCTGTCACACACTCACACACCGCAACCAACATGCCTTCCTTGTCTTAATTCAAGTTTAAATATCTGATCGTTCCTAAATCAAGAAGCCTTTTCTAGACGGGAGTAAAATATAGTGTTGTCTTCAGAATTGAGCAGTAAAGCAGAGCAGAATGATCTGACAACGGGGGAAGAAGAAGATCTTATTTAAACACAACACCTGGATTATTCCCCATTATCCCCATTTTATTTCATTAAGAAACTTAATTGTGACTCATTATTTCTGAACACAACACCACATTATTCTGCTTCTCTAACGCTTCTTGATTTTAGAGTTGTAGATATTCAGACTATGAGTAAGAGAAGCTCAGAGTAAGAGCAGTGGTGTCTCCGTGTGTTTCAGCTGCTGTGAACATGTCTGTAAGCTGAATGTTAAATCTGTCTGATGTTGTTTTGGGGAAAATGTTTTAGGGTAACGTCAGGCGTACAGAACAGACTGTGTGTCTATCATGAGCGAATATGCTGAATGTTGGTTGTTCTCTCCCACACACACACACACACACACACACACACACACACACACACACACACACACACACACGTGCTCCTCACTCATTATCTGAGTCATTTCACCGCGGCGTGCTGAGATCATCAGGAAACTGTTGTAAACAAGAAGAGTTTCTCTCCGACAGTAAAGGAGAAGTGTTGTGTTGTGCTGTGTGAAGCTCCTGATGGCAGCGGCTGCAGTGAACATCTCCTCAGAAACATCCAGAGCTCCTGTGAACGCTGCTGCAGGGTTGAGGGTTGACTTCTGCTGATCTCTGATTACTCAAGACCTGATCATGAAGGACTACAAATCTACAGTTCTTTCCTCGTAAAATTACCATCAAATTCAGGGCTGTTTACAAATCACAGATCATCATCGGACACGCTCTCAGAGTCTCCCCTGGGTTTATGCTTCAGGGCTTCTTGCTACCTGACATGTTTTACACTGCAGAAAGGCTTTTCTGTTTTCAGTTTTTGTTTTGTTCCTAGTTCAAGTACAGCGGGGAAATAAGTATTGAACACAGTTTCGCTCAGAGAACGTATTTCTAAAGGGGATGTTGACTCGAAATTTTCCCCAGATGTTGTTAACAACCACAGAAGTCCATATGTATGCAAATAAAATTAATCTAATGTGTTTACAGATGAAGTTCTGTGTAATAAACTGAAATGACGCAGGGAAAAAGTGTTGAACAGATGAAGGAAGGAAGGTGTAGTTGGGCAGTGAAAGCCCAGACAGCAGCTGAATCTGTCAGTAGTTCTTCAGCAAGCCTCTGCCCTTCCTCTGTCAATGAAGATCAGCTGCTTCAGTCCAACATCTACATCAGCAGGAGGATGAAGATCAAGCTATTTCAGCAAGACGATGATCCAAACACAGCCGAGGAGACTCTCAGATGCTTTTAGAGAAAGAAAATCAAGCTGTAGAATGGCCCAGCCAATCACCTGACCCCAATCCAATAGAGAATACAGAAAACAGCTCAGATCTGATAGACGAGACCCACAGAAGCTTCAAGATTTACACACTCTGATGAAGACTGAGAGAAACTCACACCTGAGCACTGCAGGAGGCTTCATTCTCCATATGAGACACGACTTTAGGCTGCCGTCATTCATAAAGCCTTTTATATACAGCATTAAATATGTTTCAGTGTTATTACACAGAACAATTTTTCAGATTCTTGTTTTGTTTTTTATGTTTGTATTTTTGGGGTTTTTACCTAAATCTGCTTCAATTCCATTAATAGCCTCTTTAGAATATTTCCCCCCCAAAATACATGACATCTTCAGTACTCATTTTGCCCACTGGATTCAACCATTCTGAAATCGAGAAGCGTATATAATATTGCTTTGACGTAAGATTATTCTGCTTTCCCCTTTGTCAGATTATTTTGCTTCTTTTAAGGGAGAAACTTTCTTCATTGTGCCTCATTATTTCTGAACACAACACTATATATGTTTTGCTTGTCTAGAAATTCTTCTTAATTTAAGTATTTTTATATATTTGCACTAGAAACAAGTGAAAAACTGAGTAAGAGCAGCACTTTTGCAGTCAAAGTTGTGTTTTCTTAAAATCTGGCAGCAATATTTGCACAGTATGTGCCTCTAAAGACAGATTATGGGCAGATTTATAGCAAGAGATTTATATTTATACAGTATGCATTATAGACTGTGCTAATCGTGGGTTCTGTAGAAAAGAATCACTTTGCTTTTGTTCACTGAATTTCTATAGACCTTGACTTGACCAAAAAATACACATCGCAACAACACGTAGCACAAGCTCTGTGATTGGACAGCTCGGTAGCGTTGATGAGGGTGGGCGGGGCTGAGAGCCATGGGGGTGGAGCGAGTGTTTACAAGTGTGGAGTCCTGTAAAGGAGCTCCAGATGGAGACGGTTGTGTTGTGTTCACCTCATGATTAAAGTTATTGCACATCTGCCGGTTCTGCTCTGAATGAGCCAGTTTGAGTTAGCATTACAAGTATTTCTGATCTAAACAAAACAGCCATGAAGAAACACAACACAGAGGAATAAATACACAGAAATACATAAACCAATAATACATAATACATAAAATCACTGGGTGCAGAAGTATAGGTCAGCCGTTATTGCTCAGCCAGAGCTCATGGAGCTGTAGAGGAGTCATTCATCATGCTAGAATACAGATTCTGTTCTGTTTCCTGTCTCATTGTCGTGTTTCCTCACCTTGGGCTCTGGGTTTCCTCCCTCAGGCATGACGTGTCAGGCGCGCAGCTCATACGTGGCCAGCGAGATCAAGTGGGGTTACCGCTTCACGCCAGTGCTGACGCTGGAGGACGGCTTCTACGAGGTGGACTACAACAGCTTCCACGAGATCTACGAGACCAACACGCCCAGCTGCAGCGCGCGAGAGCTGGCCGAGATGACGGCGCGCGCCCGCCTGCCGCTCACCTGGTCGGTGGCCAGCAAACTGAGCCAGCTGGAGCCGCAGGAGCCGCCGGAGGAGCTGACGGAGAGGAACGGAGACGTCGCCAACATGGAGAGCGAGTCCAAAGTGTAGGAGGACGGGAGAATCTCTCCTGATCTCTGCGCCACTGCCGCCGCACCATTGGCTGGGCTCAGAGGTCAGAGGTCAGCTCAGGAATGCGCCCCGAGGCGGGCCGAGGTCACGGACGCCCCCATCACACGCACTTCTCTTTTTCTGGCTCCAGGGCGTGACGCAGGTGAACTGGCGGGCCACTGCATGGTTTCAGAGACCAGTTTTTTTCTTAAAGATATGAAATGATATTTTCAGATTTGTAATTCAGAGATGAAGACCTCTATATGTATATGAGCATATATATAGATCTATTCTAGGGCATTTGCATTTGTATTTTTTTGTATATATATATATATATCTGCGTTTGGTTTGAGATGTAAGGTTGTTTGATACGACACGAGTCGCTCCACGTCTGTATATTCTGCCTTCTGGAAGAGCAGCAGACATATTTATCCACGCATGAACACTCGATCCCTGTAGTCCTGCGACTCTGATGTACATATTTAAAGTACTGTCGGCCATACATGCAGGAGATCCCCGTACTGGATGCAAACCGGAGGCTGAAGGCGGTGCGGTTGCGTTGCATGGGATTGTGGGGCTGATGATGGTGTGTGAGTGTGTGTGTGTGTGTGTGTGTGCGCGTGTAATCGTGCATGTCTGCTCCAATAACCTTCCGTACCGTCATCAGGCCATGATCTTTCTCTCTTCCTTTAAGTCATAACTGGATTTGAACTTCAGCGCGCCCGATGCAGCCGAGCGCTTCTGTGTGTGTTTGTGTCGTCAGACAGAGCAGCAGATGTGTGTGTTTGACCACGAGATAAACACCGCGCGCACACGAGACCAAAGAGCCGAACCCTCACGTCACCTTTGCCTCGACATTGATCAGCACATGAGCATTGCCAATGAAAACAAGGCTGAGACGGGGCGTCGTCCTGGAGGCACAACCCACATGAGGGACCACCGCTGTGCTTAAATAATTAATGAGAGAAGCAGATGCAGAGAGAGAGATGTAAACCAGCTTAAATATCTCGACCCGTCTGTGTGAGCCGTCTGGAAGTGCTGTCGCCAGACAGTCAAGTAGTGAAAGAGTCTGACAAGACTTCATACAGCTGACAGACGGACGCTCGCTGACCAGCTCACTAGAGCGCTCACAGTCTCAGATCTGCATTGAGTTTAATAAAGCAATGCCAGGGCAGTCTTTCCCGTTTCCTCTGGCGTGTTCACATCATGGTCGTTTACGGCGGAGTGATAATCACAGATGAGCGATCATCATAGCATTACATTTAGCAGATGCTTTTATCCAAAGCCACTTACAAACGAGAAAAGCACCAAGCGGCTGATCTTAAAGACGCAGTGCTCCCAGGAAGAGCCAGCAATACAGGCTAGAGTAGATGAGGAGAGAGGAAACACCTTCACAGAGGAGATGAGCTTCAGTTTTCTGTTTGGGATTGGGGAGATCATTCCACCAGTGAGGAACCGTGAAGGAAAATGTTCTGGAAATTGATTTATGCCTTGTTTCCACAGAACCCTAACCCTAATTGTGTTCACACGCTCAGCAGAAATAAACTCTGATTGGCTCCAATGATCATCCACAGTGTTTAAGAGCTCAGGTGTTTGAGGGAAATGGACGTTTATAAAATTTAATTACTATTCAGTACTGAAATCAGTATTTCTGACAACACTATGTGCAGTTGATTACAGGAGAAACACTATGTCATCAGACGATGGCTCCCAGTGATGTGGTGTAAATTAGGAAGAGGAGAGGTCCAAGAACTGACCCCTGAGGAACTCCTGCAGAATATATCTAGCAGAGCTGAAGATCCAGAGCCGTCCACAGGGCTTCAGTGGCGGACAGTAATGCGGGATCGTTCACTTTTTAACAGACGCTTTCATCCGAAGTGACCCACAAGTGAGACAAGAGAAGCACTTTACCTCCTGCTGAAGCAGTTTACGATTGTTTTTCCACATTCAAGCAAACAGATTGGAAAGAGTGTGTACTACAGGTGGTTTGTCAAGCCCACTCACCTGTGAGGAGCACACTCAGAATTGCAAGACGTTTTTCCATCTTGGATCAGTGGAATCGCCACTTTCCAATCCTCGATGGTTTGCGTCCGGCTGCTCTGTTCAGTGTTGTTGCAGTGATTTGCAGATGGACAATGGCAGCAGGTTAAGGGGTTTGTTCAGCAGCCTTGTTTTCATTTGCATCAAATAAGATAATGCATGCATCAAGAGAACGCTCCATAACAAGTCTGTTCAATACTAAAGCCCAGAGTATACTTCTGCTGTTAATTAGGCGTGCAGAGCTCAGTACACCACTTCATCAGAACACTTCAGAACTATATTGCACTTGCACATGCCCATTTGATTTTTTGCACTTATTAGTTTGTCCACAAGGGGTCATCACTGAGCGACTGATTCACTGAACAACAACAGCAAACTACTGAAGACTAAAAGAGTGTTGTGTTCAGGATGAAGACCTTTCCACAGCTCAAAAGTGCTCACACACACACACACACACACACACACACACACACACACACACACACACACTGAACATGAAGTATACTCTGGACTTGAACTTACATTTGCCAGAGCTCAGATTGCGCTGTATCGTGTTCAAGGGATTTACAGGACCAGGACTCACAGACATCCCTCTTATGGCCGTGTGTTCTTGAGTCTGGCCGATGTGTCTGTAGATCCGCACATCTGTGCCCGGTTGAGACTGGAGTCCTCCGCTGATTCTGCACAGTGACAGCGCATCGCTCCAGCGCTCCACGATTGATGAAGTGCCCTTTAAAGTGCCCTGCTGATACGAAGCCATCACGTCACGTCACGTCAGAGGCTTTCCTTTCTTCATCTCTGTTGAGTTGGGGAAATATGAAATCAGGAATACCCACATTATATCGTCTTCAGATCCGTCTTTAAAGCTTATTCCACAAGCCATAATACGGCACATTACACACGGTGTTTAAACAGATTCAGCGCGCATACGACAAGCGACTCATTCTGATTTTCTTGTTGATTTAGATGATTACTCTGTCGCAAGAAGCTCATAAATAAACCATATCTGAATATTCACTTGTGTTCCGTCTCTCTCTCTGTGTGTGTGTGTGTGTGTGTGTGTGTGTGTGTGTGTGCGTTCAGTGAGAATGAATCTGATGAATGGACTGAAGCGTGCTGGGGTTAGCATGTTGCGATGGTGTTCGTTCTACAGTTTTGCTGCAGTGAAGCGATGCGCTGCCATTTTAAACATGAAAGCGAGGCTGCAGTGGGAGGAAACCCGCTAGTGGAGGATCAGTACTGTAAACATTACAGCAGCATGCTGTGGACTACACTCCTCCAGCTGCTGCTGTGTTTCAAATGCAGATGTGGCGTACACATCACTTTAATATCATTCAGTTCAGTTTAATCTAAACAGTTAGCAGCAGCGATATGCTTCAGTGTCCTCCTCATGGCAGCAGCCTCTTCACCATGTGTGAACACAGATACAGGGACGCTGGAGCCTTTTAAAGCAGCATAGATCAGTGGAGTCATCAGCGCAGGCCCGGCGCCATAACTGAAGGGGCATTTTAAATCCACATGGGGGCGCTGGATCTGGTGGCTGATTTTGGTCTCTTGTTTCTTTCAGTTAGGCTATTTATTCACATTATCATTACTTTGCATTACTGCCTAAGTTACTGACCGAAGGCAGTCATATACTCTTAATAGTAATAATAATATGCACAGTTTTGCTATTACTGATTTTATTAATGACGGTAATGCAACGATTCCGCTTATTAATACATGGATCATGGCTTCAGTGCCAAACGAGTGCTTTAAATCATGTTATTCTCCTTATTTCTCTCCGTTTTATTTCAAATAACAGACATATGAATGTTTAAAGTTTTAGGCAAAGACGTCAGATTATGTCCACACATGCAAGCTGACCCACGGTCACCGGTAAATAAATATAGTGATCAGCATAACCGAGTCATCACGCTTCACATAGCCTATTACCCAACCAAATATACCTACCCGTTATTTTATTTATTTATTAAGCCTATTTTAATAACTTAATTGGAAAAGTCAACCCAAAACACTACAGTAAGCACACTCCCGACATAAAAGGTTTAGTGTTTCATCATATTGAGTACAACATGAGCATTAGGGGAAATAATGTTATTACATTTAGCTAGTTTGGTATTTATTGGGTGAAAATTATGAATGATTTTGATTGAGACTTTACAGCTTTATTAGATTAGATTAGATTAGCCAAAACTGTTCGCAATCGATGTCATCAAGTATATCAATCCAAAATCCAGTGCAAGCAGGCAAAGAGATCCGACAATGCAATGTTCAACTTAATAATCATCTAATAAAGTGACGTCAGAGTGGCGGGCGCGCACAGAACACGCCCATTGTGCGCGCGTCTTCATCAGCGTGCGCGCTTGTCGGGAGCGCGCAGTGTGGATGATGCTGCCGGTGTGTGTAGACGCGGATCAGGCGCTCAGGTAAGAGTTTAAGATCAGTTTCTCCTCATGATTTAAAGTTTTAAGGGTGAATAATGGTGTTTTTCTGTGCTCTGATAGATGTTCTGTGCTATGGAGACCGTGGAGTCTCTCCCCGACAGAGGCTCGAGGACACAAGGTAACTTTAACTTTGGTGTTTGGTGGTGTGAGGATTTCAGTTTAAAGGGGCAGTTCACCCAAAAATGACCAGTTATCGTTTACTCATCCTCAAGGGGTGTCAGAGGTTTCCTTTTATTGTTAAACACAAAAGAAGATGTTTTGAAACATGTAATAACCCTGAGCCCGTTTACTGGCGTTGTAGAAAAACAAACACTGTTGAAGTCAGGAGCCGTGTTTTCATACAAAGAAGTGAATTAAATATATGTGCAAAGCTGGAGTGTTGAATTAAACATGCAAATAACTGCAGTGCTGTACAGTAGAGCATCTCCTGCTCACTCCTGCTGCTCCTGCACAGATATCACTAGCCGCGTTTCCACTATCGCGCCTAAAGCGAGCGAGCCAGGGCGAGCCAAGGCCAGTGGGGTTTCCACTGTCACTTCCGGGGCCTAATCGGGCCAAAGCGGGGCTTTCTTGGGGCCAGCGGCCGGCCTTTTTCGGCCCGCCTAATACCTTGGGCCAAAGAGGGCCAGCTGGGGCTTCGGGGCGGAGTGAAAGGAGAGGCGGACAGTTTTCTGATCGCACATGAGTACATGCGCCAAACAAATAAAGAAATAAGGGAAAGAAAACATCTAGCCTTATAGTCTGGGGTCTTTTTGCGTATGATCACCCTTATGTTTCGCTTTTAAATGAAAGGCTGCTGCATAAAATAATAAAGTAGTTTTATTTTATAGTGACGTTTTTTGCTGCGTCCTCCTTTATGTTTCAATAACGCATAATAATCTTTACACCATATTAAAAACACATCAGACAGTAAAGGTTTTCGAGAGTTTTTGTCAAGTTTAAAATGTTTGTTTGTGCGCGTTTAGATGCCTGTATGTGTGTGAGAGACCGGGGTAAAGCGCTCCTTCACAGCTCTGCCGCGAGCGGCTTTTTTCTTTATTTATTTTGGAGATAATGCACAATATAAATACAACAGAAAGACATAAACTTAACAAAATACGTGCCCACTTTTGTAGACTTTAAACAATATATTGTCATATCTTGATAAAATAGCCTAAGGTATATTGAAATATAATTTAAAGAATTACAAATATCGGAAATATATAAAATCACATTAAATAAATTAACCAATATAAAATAAACAAAAGCTAACTATAACAATGTAGGTAGCCTATACAATACATAAATCAAACCGTTTTAAAGCCACATATAGCCTAACTTTCATTTTGCAAAGACCTGTCTGAAAAAAAAAAAGATTTTCGATATTTTTTAAAAACAATAAACACCGGAGAAGGTTTAAAATATTTATATAAAGTAAATATTTATATAAGTAAATATTTATAAAGTATTTGGACACGATGATATTAATCAAATCGCGCAAACAGAGCATTATTTGGGTGAGTGAAAGCAGAATCTCCTATACCTTTTTTTCTGTCACCCAGTCCTGCGCAGCGCTCGCTGCTTTAAACGCATATGGGGGAAAGTCCAAACACAAAATGGATTCTATATAGGCCTACTCAAACAACTGTTTATGTTTTTATATGACGTGGTTAAATTTATAAATGAAACTTTAAATGAGGAGTTTTAGTGAATAGCTGCCGAGCGCAACAAATATGGCTATATTTTATTAGGCTACTCGCTCTTGTGCTGAAAACTTAACACGACTTCTATCAACACAAGGATGTTAAAAAATACATGCCATATCGAGTTATAACGGAGAATTTCTGTGGCTTTATATTATGGATGTGTGCGCTCTCTGTGTTGGGTCCCTGCGTTAGTGGCGAGAGCACTCCATGCACAATGCAGTCGGTCAGCGAGTAAACAAATGTGATAAATGGAAATACACAGGTCTGTGCGTATAGACATATAATGTACTGCTGTACAGTAACGTGTCGTTTGTTTGTTTCGGTTGTCTTCATTTTAATGGTTTCGTTTCGTGATGATTCTATGGTGTGCTTTATCTGCCTCATTCCCGCTGAAGTGGGCGGGTTGTGTGACGTTTGATTCGGGGACGTTCTGTGGGCGGTGTTTGCGTGACGCGCTGTGAGCTTTAGCCCGACAGTGGAAACGCGACATGATTTCGGCCTCATTTCTCAACCTCCCGGGCTATTGGCCCGCCCCGGCCCGATTAAAGCCCTGGCTCGCACTGGCCCGATAGTGGAAATGCGGCTAATGAGGACAGTGGAGGCTGCTGCACTGGGGGGATTCTCCACTGAGGGGTGTTCTGCTCTAATAGATGAGCTGCGCCTCAGAACACCAAGACCAAACGCTTCTGGAGGACTGAGACTGGAGCACAGACAGATGCTCAAGACAGTTCTGGAGGGAATAATAATAATAATAGAAGAAGAAGAATACTGAAGCCCTGTGATGACGGACTGACGGAGGCCTGAGACAGAACAACATTTCACATCTGACACAATGGAGAGCTGGAAACACGGAGAGCTGCAGACCAACATCAATCACACACACACACACACACACACACACACACACACACACACACACACACACACACTTAGCAGCATCTGTGAAACACTACAGCACTGAAGCGCAGACGCACACTTCTCTCACTACAGCTGTTATCAGCAAATAAAAAGTGTTTGTGCAAATTTTCTTATGCGCATTTTCTAAATGTGTGAGCCCATCTTGGTGTTTCCATCAAGCTCTGCACATTACACAGAAATGCACAGAAAACCTGTGGATGGAGACGGAGCCAATGGTGACAGGTTTTTAACGAGAGTGGGTAAATGATGGCAGAATGGTCAGTGTTGAGTGCGCTGTGCCTGTAAGAGTGCCGTAATGTCTCTGAGACGTGCTGATTTCAGCTTTGCTTCATCTCTGTTCTTGTGCCCAGACGCTTGCTGGAGGAGTGAGGAGCGCTCGGCCGTCTGGAGGAGTCTTCCATCATCCTGTGAGGTCTGATCATTCACCTGTCATGTGTTCAGCTGTGTGTGTGTGTGTGTGTGTGTGTGTTACTGACAGCGCTGGTCATGCGTCCGCAGGCTGTTTCTGCCCAGATCCCGCATGCAGGAGTATCTGTCCCGCCTGGGCTCCAGTGTTCTGGCCAGTTTCCCCGTTCAGGCCACTCTGCACTTCTACAACGATGAAGACTCCAGCTCTGAGGAAGAGGAAGATGAGGAACACGCAAACACACGCTGCAGACTCTGGAGGCCGTGAGACGAGCAGACGATCATCAGGAGCAAACACTGTACAGGAGACCAGCTGAAGGTCAGGGTGTGTGGATACAGGATGATGAGCAGCAGGAACACAGGACGGGTCACGGCACCAGCGGCGGACCATCAGCCCACTGCGGGACACCTGGCAGGAGCTCACCTGTACCTGACAGACATTCATCTGTGTATGTATGGTTGTCTCTGTGTGTGTGTGTGTGTGTGTGTGTGTGTGTGTGTATTAAGCACGTCACCATTTCTCTCAGAAGGCATATTTCTAAAGGTGCTGTTGACTGGATGTTAATGAAAGCAAAAGAAATCAAAGAAAACACATCTTATTAGTTTAGAAATAAACTTCTGTGTAATAAAATGAAACCACATGGAGAACAAGTGTTGAACAGATGAAGGAAGGAAGGTGTAGTTGGGCAGTGAAAGCCCAGACAGCAGCTGAATCTGTCAGTAGTTCTTCAGCAAGCCTCTGCCCTTCCTCTGTCAATGAAGATCAGCTGCTTCAGTCCAACATCTACATCAGCAGGAGGATGAAGATCAAGCTATGTCAGCAAGACGATGATCCAAACACAGCCGAGGAGACTCTCAGATGCTTTCAGAGAAAGAAAATCAAGCTGTAGAATGGCCCAGCCAATCACCTGATCCCAATCCAATAGAGAATACTGAATTCAGCTCAGATCTGAAAGACGAGACCCACAGAAGCATCAAGATTTACACACTCTGATGAAGACTGAGAGAAACTCACACCTGAGCACTGCAGGAGGCTTCATTCTCCATATGAGACACGACTTTAGGCTGCCGTCATTCATAAAGCCTTTTATATACAGTATTAAACACACTTCAGCAGTTCAGCACTTTCTCCATCTGTCAGTTCAGTTTTATTTCACTCAACTCATGTTTCATAGTTTGTTTGTTGTTTTATGTTTGGGGTTTTACCAAAATCTTCAACTCCATGTCAGCAGCTCCTTCAGGAATATTATTCCCAGGAAAAAACATCAGTGTGTTCAAGACTTTTTTCCCCCGCTGTGTGTGTGTGTGTGTGTGTGTGTGTGTGTGTGTGTGATTGATAGATGTATTACTGCTGAACTGTGAACACAAATAAACAGATGATGTGCATTAGTTTCTCCTGTCATGTTTGATTATGAGGATAGACACCACAGGTCTGTTCACACTAATGATGAACGAGAACATCTCAAATATGAACAACATATAATAATTTAATTCAAGCGTCACAATAACAGAGGAGTACTGCAGCTTTAATGTGTACCAGACGCTAGAAAGTGTCATATACAGACAAAATACACATTTCCTCAGCCTTTACTGGAGTTTCACCTGTTGAACACACAAGAGGATATATTGATGAAAGCTGAACTAATAAACAGCACTGACTCATTTGTTTTTCATACTATAGAAGTCAATGGTTACAGGTTTACAACATTTTTCAAAATATCTTCTTTTGTGTTCAACAGAAACAGGTTTATAAGCACTGGAGTATGGGCCAGTATTGAGTTATTTATGGCAGTTATTAACTTTATTTTTATACAGCGCCTTTAACAGTGCCATCTCAATGCACTAAACTATTATTTGTGCTAAAATTATTCCTGTAATTTCTTAAGACTGGATGATGTTTATTAATAACTATACTTACAGAATTATCCGACACATTAAAGCAGACATAATATGATTATTATACATGATACGACATAATAACTACAGAAATATAATTAATATAACATCACTTGTGTACATTTCATAACCTGTGGGCACTCAATGGGATGATGGGTATTTATTCAGGGAAGAACAGGACGTCTGAATGATGCAGAGACACACTGATAACTGCAGATGCAGCGTGTGTGTGTGTGTGTGTGTGTGTGTGTGTGTGTGTGTGTGTGTGTGTGTGTGTGTGTGTGTGAGGGGTCACGGGGTCACAGGTGAAGCGTCAGCAGTCTGTTTACGCTCACTGCAGACTGATGGACGTGATGGTCAGATAGAGACGTGACCGTTTCACTGCAGGTCACTGTGAGGTCAGCGTCTGACACACACACACACTCACACTCACACACACACACACTCACACACACAGTGAGATTCAGAGATCTGAGAGAAATGCTGAAGTGCAGATGTGTTTTGAGGTGTGGCTTCACAGGGGTCGCTGAGGTCACGGCGGGGTCATCTGGAAGCCGGAGTTCAGGCCGTCACACACACCTGATGGATCTGCTCACCTGAGACGCCTCTGCAAACGCCTCTCCAGCGCTGATGACAGAGGCGGCTCACAGGTAAAACAGCCGGCTCATTTCACTGACCGACACGTCTCGGAGTCTGGGGATCGCTCCCGGCTGGTCCTCGTCCACCCGCTGACTCCTGCCATACGCATCTGGAGCAGCACACAAACCAGCGTTACGTGTGTGTGTGTGTGTGTGTGTGTGTGTGTGTGTGTGTGTGTGTGTGTGATTTAACACTGTCTAATGAGAACAGAATCATTCATCCAGTCATGAGAGTTCAGTTCTGGTGAATTAGACTGACAGAAGAGACTTCAGATTCGCTGACAGCACATTAGGAAAGTGTCTGTGACGGTTCAAGAGACTTTAGTGAAGATCAAGTGTCCAGATGTGGAGGAGTAATGTCAGAATCTGCTAATCTGCCATTCATCATAGGGGTTGAGACTGTTAACTCATTAAAGGAGACTTATTCTGCCCCTTTCTACAAGCTGTAAATGCGTCTCTGCTGTGTCTCTCTCTTGTGTGTGTGTGTGTGTGTGTGTGTGTGTGTGTGTGTGTGTGTGTTTGAGCTGAGAACAGTACACAGTTGATGTCCTCCAGCTCTCTGAAACTGACTCTTTCAGGCTGTGATCCTCATTGTGGTGTTTTGGTGACTGTCGCTTTAAATGCAAATGAGGTTGAGCTCTTTTTAGAAGAGGGCGGAGCTACAGACGGCTATGCGTCAGTGTGTGTGTTGTGTATGCATCAGTGTGAGTGTGTCTGCAGTCTGTGGCTCCTGTCTCTGTTCATCTAGAACTGCACATCTATAATGCTCTGAGTCTCCGCTGACATGATCTTCAGCAGCTCAAACACTAATGGCTCATGTGGTGTTAGTCTGAATTCTCACCTGTGATGTTGTCCACTGAGGCCAGCGGAGCCGTGTTCATCATATTCACTCCGAACAGTAGCACGAAACAGGTGCTCAGGGCCACCAGCAGGTATATGGGGCCCGCCAGAGCCCAGTATCTGACGACAGACAGACGGAGAGAGAGAAAGAGTGATTGATCAGACATTAAACATCAGCATCTGAAGAGCAGACGACAGACAGACCACTCACTTCTGCGGCCAGTAGGTCAGTCCGGCTGCATGGAGCCAAGAGTCAGGAACAAACGCCCAGACCACATACAGCACTGATGGAGAACACAAACACACACACAAACAAACACACACAACACCACAGATGAAGAACACACCAGCAGCTGCAATGTCTTCAAGATAGAGGTGTTTGTCAAGCAGAAGTACTGTTTTCTGTCATGCTGCATGTTTATTCAGATATCAATTATGAGTCCAGAACAAATAAATAATGCTCAAGTCATTTATAGTGAACACTGTAGTGTTTCAGCGACTGAGTCAAGTCCTGAAATTGATCTGCTGTGGTGATTCTACAGTCGCTATGGTAACATGACAATTATAATAATTGATCTGCTGTGGTGATTTTACAGTTGCTATGGTAACACATCTACAGTAATTGATCTGTTGTGGTTCTGCAGTTGCTATGGTAACAAAACTACAGCAATTGATCAGTTGTGGTGATTCTACAGTTGCTATGGTAACAAATCTACAGTAATTGATCAGTTGTGGTGATTCCACGGTTGCTATGGTAACAAAACTACAGTAATTGATCAGTTGTGGTGATTCTACGGTTGCTATGGTAACAAAACTACAGTAATTGATCAGTTGTGGTGATTCTACGGTTGCTATGGTACCACAACAGCTACAGTAATCTATGAGTCAGAACTGTATTCTTCTACAACTTTAGAGCACAATACACCACACTTTACCTGAGTAAACTGAAGTGTACTACAGTACTTCTTACTACAGTCAGCATTCAGCATCATAGCTAAACATACAGACAGTATAATGCCCTGTACTCTAGTGTGTGTGTGTGTGTGTGTGTGTGTGTGTGTGTGTGTGAGACACTGCTGTCAGTCTGTAGATTCTGTTGATGTTTCTGCCACAGGATTAAAGCCTCTCTTCATCTGTAAAGGACAATAGCCGCGTTTCCACTATCGCGCCTAAAGCGAGCGAGCCAGGGCGAGCCAAGGCCAGTGGGGTTTCCACTGTCACTTCCGGGGCCTAATCGGGCCAAAGCGGGGCTTTCTTGGGGCCAGCGGCCGGCCTTTTTCGGCCCGCCGAATACCTTGGGCCAAGGAGGGCCAGCTGGGGCTTCGGGGCGGAGTGAAAGAAGAGGCGGACAGTTTTCTGATCGCACATGAGTACATGCGCCAAACAAATAAAGAAATAAGGGAAAGAAAACATCTAGCCTTATAGTCTGGGGTCTTTTTGCGTATGATCACCCTTATGTTTCCCTTTTAAATGTAAGGCTCCTGCATAAAATAATAAAGTTGTTTTAATTTATAGTGACGTTCTTTGCTGCGTCCTCCTTTATGTTTCAACGCATAATAATCTTTACACCATATTAAAAACACAGCAGACAGTAAAAGTTTTCGAGAGTTTTTGTCAAGTTTAAAATGTTTGTTTGTTTGTGCACGTTTAGATGCCTGTATGTGTGTGTGAGACCGGGCAAAAGCGCTCCTTCACAGCTCTGTTATGCCGCGAGCGGCTTTTTTCTTTATTTATTTTGGAGATAATACACATATAAATACAACAGAAAGACATAAACTTAACAAAATACGTGCCCACTTTCGTAGACTTTAAACAATATATTGTCATATCTTGATAAAATAGCCTAAGGTAGCCTATATTGAAATATAATTTAAAGAATAACAAATATCGGATATATAATCACATTAAATAAATTAACCAATATAAAATAAACAAAAGCTAACTATAACAATGTAGGTAGCCTATATACAATACATAAATCAAACCGTTTTAAAGCCACATATAGCCTAACTTTCATTTTGCAAAGACCTGTCTGAAAAAAAAAAAGATTTTCGATATTTTTTAAAAACAATAAACACCGGAGAAGGTTTGAAATATTTATATAAAGTAAATATTTATATAAGTAAATATTTATAAAGTATTTGGATACGATGATATTAATCAAATCGCGCAAACAGAGCATTATTTGAGTGAGTGAAAGCAGAATCTCCTATACCTTTTTTTCTGTCACTCAGTCCTGCGCAGCACTCGCTGCTTTAAACGCATATGGGGGAAGTCCAAACACAAAATGTGTTCTATATCCTCAAACAACTGTTTATGTTTTTATTTGACGTGGTTAAATTTATAAATGAAACTTTAAATGAGGAGTTTTAGTGAATAGCTGCCGAGCGCAACAAATATGGCTATATTTTATTAGGCTACTCGCTCTTGTGCTGAAAACTTAACACGACTTCTATCAACAAGAGGATGTTAAAAAATACATGACATATTGAGTTATAAAGGAGAATTTCTGTGGCTTTATATTATGGATGTGTGCGCTCTCTGTGTTGGGTCCCTGCGTTAGTGGCGAGAGCACTCCATGCACAATGCAGTCGGTCGGCGAGTAAACAAATGTAATGAATGGAAATACACAGGTCTGTGCGTATAGACATGTCATGTACTGCTGTACAGTAACGTGTCGTTTGTTTGTTTCGGTTGTCTTCATTTTAATGGTTTCGTTTCGTGATGATTTATGGTGTGCTTTATCTGCCTGATTCTCGCTGAAGTGGGCGGGTTGTGTGACGTTTGATTCGGGGACGTTCTGTGGGCGGTGTTTGCGTGACGCGCTGTGAGCTTTAGCCCGACAGTGGAAACGCGACATGATTTCAGCCTCATTTCTCAACCTCCCGGGCTGTTGGCCCGCCCCGGCCCGATTAAAGCCCTGGCTCGCACTGGCCCGATAGTGGAAATGCGGCTAATGTGTGTGCAATATCAGTACAGATCGAGTTAGAGACGTACAGAAGCCCAGCTGAGCGCCCAGGAACAGCACAAAGCCGTAGATGGCTCTTTCCGGCAGAGGAGAAGGAGAGTTCTCCACCATCACCATCTCCAGCAGCGACACCTGCGCGCGCACACACACACACACATCAATGCTCCAAACTAACACATCACACACGCTTTAGTTTCGATAAATACTATAACATATAAAACGAAAAACAGAACATACATGTCTTATTTCCTGATGGTGCTTCCTTGTGTTTCTGCGCAGGCGCACTGCGTCCTGCCGCCCCCGCGCGGCCTGGAGACAAACAAACGCGCGCGCACCTATTATTTGGTTTAATGCTCTGATTTTTATTTTCCATATAAATATTGTTTGTAAAAAATAATGTTGATTTTGAAGACGCTCTCTCTCCTTCATTCACTAATATCTGCGTGTATTAGCTCGGTCTGATATTCTGTGTGTTTATGACAGATTAAGAGCATGTACTTTACCGTACATGTTAAATATTTGTTGTGTTCAGCAGTTAAAATGAAGCGTATAAGTGTTCAAGTAAAACAACTAAAGAAGGCAGTAAATGACAACAGAATTAAAATGACTGGGTGAGCTGTGCCTTTAAGACAAACGTTGGTGTCCGCGGCCGAACAGCAGAGGGCGCGCTGACGTCACTCCGTCTAGAAGGGATACAGCTGCGGATTCTCACATTAGTATAGCACAATCTATACGACACTACAACAATATTGATTATTGTACATTACTGTGAGGGTAGAAGATAATTAAATACAGTTTAATGGGTAATTTAATAAATAATATGAATAATACTCTGTATAATTACTGTTTTTACATTACTGTGAGGGTTGTAGTAATACAATACAGTTTAATGAGCATTTTAATAAATAATATGAGTGATATTCGGTATAATTTCTGTTAATCCATTGCTGTGAGGTTTGGGGTTGGGGTAGGTAGACGTCAATACAATGTGCAATTAACTCAAATACAATTAATGGCTAATTTAAAATAAAGTAAAAACAAGTTGTTACTTCGGACAACACCTGTATCCCTTCTAGTGGTGAACAGCAGAGGGCGCGCTGATGCCACTCGCGCGGGCGAACAGCAGAGGGCGCGCTTCTTACTCCGCGTCAGTTTCGCGCTGCAGTTGATGCGTGAGGTTAAACATCAGGAAACAGTGGAGCTGCTCTTCTGAATCAGGTCAGTTTATAAACATTTCTCCCCGAATATTCACGACTGATGGACGGTTAGCTGCGGCAGCGCGTGTTCTTACTTCCGCGACGCCCCGCGTGTCATCAACACAGGTAAAGCGTCTGCCAGCCCAGAATGCGTCGCGTTCAACTTCCTGGTAAAGTTTGCGCCTTTCAGTGCGATAATTACAGATGTGCGAGCTGATCTTTAGAGGAGAAGAGATTAAACGCTCAATAATGGCGGAGAAATGACGAGTTTGGCGCCTTTTAGAGGCAGAAAAACACGAGCTGAAGGAGAAAAGCTGAACTCCTGAGGCGAAGCTGCGGATAAAGCGAGCAGGAGAGTTTACCTCAGCTTTACCACGGCACAGCTCGGGTTTGAGGAGAGGTTTGGCCAGGTTTGTGTCAGTTTAGACAGTAAACAGCTCGTGGTTTTGCAATGGAAGCCTCTGGGTCAGGTGTGTCTCCCCGAGGTGCATCATGGGAAGCGAGGCTGCTCTGATGTTTGCTGTAAAACTGTGCAGTTGGTGTTTACTAGGTTTATATAATGTTAGACACATCCACTCATTCCTGAACTCTTGTGACAATCTGTGACCCTCTCCATATGTTGTTCACCGCGCTACTGTGAATATTGGGTGTGGAACTGAACATTAGCACTGTTTAATTGACTGAACTGTTGTACTTCAGGCTCAGCCCTGCTCCTGGAGATCCACCTACCTACAGCATTCAGCTCCAACCCATATTAAACACACCTGCCTGTAGTTATGCAGTGCTGCTCAGGTGAGTTTGATCAGGGCTGGAGCTGAAGTGTGCAGGAAGGCAGATGTCCAGGAGCAGGGTTGAGCACCTCTGATGTACTTCGACAGTCATTTGGCTGACAATGTGATTTCTCTATGTCGTATGGGCTGAGAATGCTCTCTGCGAATGTAAAAACACCTTTACCCCCATCGAGATGCAAATCTTTTGCTGATTTTCCTGATTTTGTGTGTGAAGCAGAATGTCAGACAGTGACGACTCAGATCTGGAGGAAGGACCCAATGTTCAGAGGCACAAAACCAAGATTGTGAGTATATTTCAGTCATTTATTGCTTTCACAGCAGTGGCGAGGACAGAAGCGTTACAGTGAGTGGACAACAGTGCTCAAACTGAGTGTGTAGTGAGTCTATTCTTATATTGATCATCTCTGATAATATTAATAGATTTAAAGAGGCGTGAGCTGACATTTCTGACTATCCAACACTCTGTCTAGAAAAATGGCAGAAATGTGTGTAGAGTAAGTCTGCAGGGCATTGGGAAACACTGACATTGCTATATTTAGTTTTTATGTGATGGATTGTGATTAGATGTAATTTTATTAGATCATTTAAACAACTGTTATTCTGAAAGAAATTATAATTTTACATTGTGATTAATTTGCAGGCAGTGTGGTAATTAAAAAGTATTAAAAACACTTTACAAGCTTAAACGTGCACAACAGAACAAAGCTGCCAAGTAAACACAGCGTGCTTCATGATTTCTGGATATTCCAACAGCACTGAAGTCAAATAAATATGTGATTTAATCAAATGTAAAATAAATAATAAAAATACACTTTATCCCATCATTAGAGCTGCATATATTATAATTGGGGATGCCCGAATGGTGAACATTAGCTGGAAATGTCACGGACACACACCTTAAATGAATTTGCTCACTGTAGCAGGGTTACACTTTGCTTCTGATTCTGGTTAATTATAATCAGAACTCAACTTCTGCAGATTCTGTGACATTATGATTGCATATTTGCACATTGGAGCATCGATGCTGAAACCACCCAGCAAACAATTCTGTGTTTAATAGACGTCTAATAGACATTAGGCTGTAGACAGCTTGGCTAAACTTGGGCTGTAAGTGAAAATCTCATAGAAAAGCCCAAAATTAGCTCAAATAGACAGATGAGACGGGCTTTATATGTGTATTCATTCATTTCTGCATATTTGATGACTAGTCCAGACTAGTCTTTCACTGACAGCCCAAATTTAGCCTTGTTTGAGCCAAGACGACTGTGTAGACGTCTATTAGAAACATTCACTTTAGCAGTAGGACTGTAGAAAGCAGCACAGAATAAGCCGTGTTAATACAGGCTTTGAAATCTGTTTGAGTGCCCTGGACTTGGGATTTTGTTGTTTTTAGAGAGCAGAACCAGTCATTCAAGATGTGAAAGCAAAAACAGATATTCTATAATCTGACACTGAATTCATTTATTTTATTAATCTAGAAGAACCGTTCACTCCATTCAAAATACTGGCGTAAAATAAATTTCCTCTTTTTTTTTAGCGAGATGTAATTTATAAATGTAATGTAATGCAGTGCTTCTTGTCCCGCCTGAGACCCACGCTATATCAAATATCTATCAGGCCGTGAAGGTCACTGATCTTTCAGGAAATCAGATCTTAAACGTGGCGATTTTGTAATGGAAAGACAGTTCACCGGAAGCCGTCGGGCTGGCTGTCTAAACTAAAAGTCTGTGTACAGATAGTGCATTGTAGCTCTAACAGAGAGCTGAGGGTTTTAAATGACTATAAAATCTGTATATGGATCACAAGTGCCCACGACTCTCTGTTTGTCGTCATATTTGTCTGTTTTGTTTTGTTGAAATGTGATCAAAATATTCATTGCTTGAAACAGATGGGTAATGTAGCCTCCATTACGGCTCTGTTGTTTTACCTGCCTGCTCTACACACAGCTCACAAGTCTGTCCAGTCAGTAGCCGGACATTACATTTCTGTGCACTGGAGAGGGTAATGTTATCGACACACAGTGACTAAAGTGTGCTGTTAATCATCCTCATCATATCACATCTATTACTCGCCTCACATATGTTATGTCATTATTGTGATTTCTCTGTGTGTGTGTGTGTGTGTGTGTGTGCGTGCGTGCGTGCGTGTGTGGAGCAGTCCTCAGTGTGAGTGGGCCGTGTGTATCCTCGCCACTGCTTCACAGTAATGAACAGAAAGCTGACAGAGTGATGAGATGATATTCGTGAGACAGCAGTGTCCTTCTGTTGACTGAACACACACTCTCCATTCTCTGTTCCTCTCAGGTCTACCATGCTCAGTTCCCCTACATCCACATGGAGCCGCCGGGTGAGTGTGTGCTTTGCTCTTGGTGGGTCTCGTGTGTTTGCATGTGGTGCACTGAAATATACTCAGGATTCCCCAGGTTACACAACAGCACTGCACTTTCATCTGTTTCCCTTTTCACGTCTGACATTTGTTCTAATTCAACAACAAGTGCCCTGCAAAGTGGACTACAGGGTATTCTGTGATGATGTCAGTGTGAAGGGAGCGTACATGTTTCATTCATATAGCATGTCAGCGTGTGATATGTGAATTTATATTGTATTTATTAGGATTGTTTCCCAGTGATGGGTTGCGGCTGGAAGGGCATCCACTGCGTAAAAACTTGCTGGATAAGTTGGCGGTTCATTCTGCTGTGGCGACCCTGGATTAATAAAGGGACCAAGCCGACAAGAGAATGAATGAATGAATGAATTATTAGGAATCCTCCTGTCATATACTGGGCTGTTCATCTAACCTCACTAATGTAAAGCTCAGAACATCCCTGTGCCTCTCACAATCTGTTCTCTTGCTAATTCACTCTCATCTCCACGATTTCCAGGGTATTTTATCTAATTCAAAACACCTGCGATTGGTTCATGAAATCGGCTGGATTGGCGAATACTGATCGAGTCATGAAATGTGATGATCAGCCGATACCGATCTCCAGCCGAGGAGACTGCAGGCAGTGCTGTTGTGTAGATTTGTGAATTAATGTTTCAATGGTAAATACATGTTTGATTAACTCAGTAAAGGAGAAGGGACTAGGGCAGAATGCACACTGCGTAGGGGATAGTAGTGTTGGAGTAGTGCATGGAGCTCTTCTCAAGAGCTGGTCATCTAAATAGGACATATACAGAGACATATGCAGATCAGTGGAGCGTGAGGATTGAGAAACACTGGAGTAGAGTAGAAAACACTACTCAAAGTCTGAGTAAAGTTGCTCTTCTAAAAGAGAAGTGAGTATTTTTTATATTTCTTGCCATTTTGGATGATAAAATGTAAACTATTTGTAAAAACACGTTACATTACTTAATCAGGGTTTTCCTGGATCAGAATAAGGCTGGGGTGGTATCCTGATCGTCAAATTCTTGCTACTTAACACAAAAGATTTTGCATTATTCTTGTAATTTTATCAAGTAAAATATTATCTAAACATTTGGTAACACTTTAGATCACAACTCATGCTATTAACTACTGGCTTATTATCCACTTATTCTTAAGATATGAACTATTCATTAGTAGTTATAAAGTATCTGCATCCCTAATCCTGCCTAAACCCAACTTCAACCTTACTAACTATTAATACACAGCTCTTCAGTAGTTAATTAAGCTAGTAGTGTTAATTAATGGTCTGTTAATGCTGTGAATAGTAACCTAAGCTAAAGTGTTACCAGACATTTTCTAAAGACACAATCAGTGTTTG